TTACAACAAGATAAAATAACAATGCAAAGTATTAAAATGATAAATATTAACAGTAAAATTAACAATGATGGCTAAGGAAGGAAGCAAAATACAAAATGGGTGGAGCAGTGGTGGGATTCAAAAATTTTTACTACTGGTTCTGTGGGCGTGGCTTGGTGGGTGTGGCAGGGAAGGATACTGTAAAATCTTTATTCCCTCCCAATCAGCTGGGACTCGAGAGGCAGGGAATAAATGGGGCAGGGAATAGATGGGCTAGTCAGTGGTGGTATTTACCGGTTCTTTGAACTACTCAAAGTTTCTGCTACTGGTTCTCCAGAACAGATCAGAACCTGCTGAATATCACCTCTGGGGTGGAGGTAGACTCTTCTCTCAGTTCATTAAAGATCTCCAATATGACGTGTCCCATCAGGGTACCAGACCATTTGGCAGAGCCATGTTTCAAGGCCCTTTTGAAGGCCAAGGGCGGGGGGGGGAGAGAAATCTCAACTCGAGGCTTACAATGTTCCAAAGGATGGGAGCCATAGCAGTAAAGGCTCCTCTCCTGAACCCCACCAGGCAGAATTCCTTGACCAACAGGGTTTGCAGTATCTCCCTTCTGCCTGCGTAAGTGGGGCAGTCCCATGGGAGTGAGATGAACAGACCAATTTCTGGAGTGAGATAAATAGGCCATTTTCTGTGTCAAACAAAAACGAAAAGAAAGTAGGGTTTAATCTGAGCCTGGATGGAGTACTTTTTATGAGTCAAAAGAAGTAGCAGTAGGTCTGAAAATTGTCAGAATGACTGTAACTAAACTTCCCATATCTAGACTTGTGAAGAAATGTTAAAGATTTGGTCTGAACTAATGCTATGGACTCCTCTCTTTTGTTAGGTGGCTCCTGATCATGTTCTTCCTGCTCCAGAAGAAATCTATGTGTATAGTCCTTTGGGCACCGCTTGCAAAATTGATAGCTCTACTGATGGTTCTGGCAAAAATTCCAGTATAGTAACAATGTATGTGAAGTGTTCTGCTTGCATTTATTTATCTAAAGTATTCTATTTTGAAATGCAGTCTAAATATTGGAATTAGCCTCAGATATCGTGCAAGTTTTCTTATGGTTGTTCTTTGTGTTTTCCCCCTGACTTAGATTCATGATCTGGAATACAATGATGGGTACATCTATATTAAGTATTCCCTGGGGAATAAAACAGGTAACACAATTTTGTGTCTCTATTTTAGGACAAATTTTGTCTGGTAACTTGTGGCATAAGATTTTGCATTAATGCCACAATTTGCATAAGCATTTAGTTAAATGTTTAATTTTCAAACAGGCTGGATTTACTACTGGAATCTGTATTATTCCGCTGATGGGCATGCTGACTCTTTATTGTTGCTACAGAGTTGTGAAATCCAGGTCAATGATACGTAAGTATACCACTTTAGTAAATATATATGTTTCATGAAAGTAGGTGTGAGCCTCCTGGTACACTTAAGAACATGATTCAGTGATGTGCAGTTTTACTGACCACAGGACTATCTTCTTCTCTGCGTATTCTAGAATACACAGGTCTTTCCAAAAATAATATATGAAAAGGGAAGTAGCAATGAACAGAGTTTGTCTCCCAATAATAAGTGAAATGTTCCTGAACTTCTTAATGAGCAATTCCTACATCATTTCTGATTTTATCAGATTATATAATTTGACCAGTGATGGGATTCATTTTTTTTTTACTAACAGTTCTGTGGGCGTGGCTTGGTGGGCGTGGCAGGGGAAGGATACTGTAAAATCTCCATTTCCTCTCCACTCCAGGGGAAGGTTACTGCAAAATCCCCATTCCTTCCCGATCAGCTGGGACTCTGGAGGCAGAGAATACATGGGGGAGAGCCAGTCAGAGATGGTATTTACCGGTTCTCTGAACTACTCAAAATTTCTGCTACCGGTTCTCCAGAACTGGTCAGAACCTGCTGAATACCACTTCTGAACTTGACTATCTCAAACTTGGCAGGATGTACAACTCCAAATGTTAAATTAGTCCCTTATGTACATTTTGTAGATTGGAGAGCCATCAAATATTTGACTGGTATTCCTATGTATATAAATTATATGATTTATTTAACATTTAGAGAAGCTGAAGTTTTGGTGGTCTAGCCTTTTATTTTCACTGGTGTCCCTTATTGGAGCCATGGTGGTTTACTGGGTCTGCTAATGACTAATTTCCCTTTCAATACTGGAAAGTGTATTTATAGTAAGTATACATTTTTATTTTAATTGCTTGCATGTGGGACAGAGTATTTATAGTTAATAAATAGATACAAGAGGGGCCTTGGGATTGCATTAGTTCAAAAAAACCCTCAGCTTTTCTAAATGTTAAATAAGTCATGATAGATAGATAGATAGATAGATAGATAGATAGATAGATAGATAGATAGATAGATAGATAGATAGATAGATAGATAGACAAGTCAAATATTTGATGGTTCTCAAATCTATAAATGTATCTATAAATACATACATAAACACATACTATATATACTCCAGTGCGTCTTTTACTCTGAAAAATACGGTAGCACAGAATTAAATCAATATCTTGTTTTTCTTCTTTTCAGCTTCAGTAGATACCTCAACTTGGGAATTCCCAGATGTTTGCAAATATTACTTTGGATCTTTTGGTCAATGGTCTAGCCTTTTATTTTCACTGGTGTCCCTTATTGGAGCCATGGTGGTTTACTGGGTGCTAATGACCAATTTCCTTTTCAATACTGGAAAGTGTATTTATAGTAAGTATACATTTTTCTGTTAATTGCTTTCATGTGGGACAGAGTATTTCTAGTTAATAAATAGATACAAGGGGGCCCATCGGATTGCATTAGTTTAAAAAAACTTCAGCTTCTCCAAATGTTAAATAAGACATGTAATTTAATAAATAAATGCACATATGCCTAGGAATTTTAGAGAAGATAAAAATCTATTCTAATATAAGAATATATATTTGTCAGTTAACTTTCCTTGGGCATAAAAATGAAGTCATCAAGATAGGTTTTAAAATTATAGGTAGAGTTTCAGAGTGCAGGGAGAAAGATGATGAAGGGTCAAAAATCATGATAGAAGAGATTCTGAAGCAACTCATTCTTTTATAGACACTGTTCTTTCACCATTTTCTTCCCATTAGCTCCAATGTGCCAAAAAATATGACGCAAACTTCAGAGCAAGAATTCTTTCCTACCGTCACAGTGCCAAGTTGAGAGAACAGTAGATCTGATAGATTCTAAGGAAACTGCTGTCCTTCATTTGACATGCTTCTAAACTTTGTTGTTTAAAATTGAAACATGGGGTTGGTTGTTGAATCTAAAACTAGATGTACGATTCTTTTTGCAAATTGTCCTAAGTACATACAGGTAGTCCTCGACTTACGACCACAATTGAGCTCAGCAGAATTTATGTTGTTAAGTGAAAAATTTGTTAGGTGAGTTTTGCCCCATTTTACAACTTTTCTTGCCACATTTGTTAAAAGAATCACTGCACTTATTAGTAACATGGTTGTTAAGTAAATCTGGCTTCCCCATTGATTTTGCTTGTCAAAAGGTTGCAAGAGATCACATGATCCCGGGGACACAGCAACTATCACAAATATGAACCAGTTGTCCAGCATCTGAATGTGCAGTAAATCACATGGGAGGTATCAATGGTTGTAAGTGTGAAAAATGGTCATAAGTCACTTTTTATTGCTGTTGTAAGTTCAAGTGGTCATTAAACAAATTGTTGTAAGTTGAGCACTAACTGTAACTAAAGATCCAATGTATGTAAACATTTCTTTAGGAATTTTTTTTTATAAACCAGAGAGTTGACACCAAGTAATTTTTTAGAAAACTCCTAAATTAACAGAAGTAACAGTATTTTTGTGTGTGCAGGTGGTGGCCTGAATTACCAGCCATTCCAGGAAAAGCCTCTTGCATCTTGTCATCCTAGTACTGAGTTAAATATTTTGCAAACAAGCACTTTCTTCATTTTACAGCTGCTTTTTGAGATTTGTAGATATTTACTCATGGTTTGAGTAGATAAATACCTTACTTTTCTATCCTATCATGTATCCTACTATTGTTTTCTGACCTTACACACATTTACTTGGAAGGAAGGGGTAGTTGGTTACAATAAGCCTATTAACAATAAGAAATAAATGATGCCAAGTAGATAATTTTATTTTATTAGTTCAGTGTTTCCCAAGCCAGGATAATTACCCAAAATTGGATAAAAGTGGGGATTTTGGGGGGTAACGACACAAAGACATTACCCATCACAATAGGAGCATTTAAATTGACTTACATATTGCCACATGTACCAAAATATATTTGAATATCTCCCAAAGTATTCCTATATTAGACAAAATTGGTGAAATTGCCAGTGGAAATTTGTTAACATGACACAAAAGTTGTTCAATGCCAGGGTGAAATGCTATCGGTTCGGGACAGTTCGCCCAAACCAATAGTAAAAAAATTTGCCCAAACCGGTAGTTTAAAAATGCTAAAAAAATGTTTGGACTATCGCAAGCCACGGTTGATTATCACACAGCTGATTGTTGGAACTTTTAAAAACTTTTTTAGCATTTTTAACTTTAAAAAATTCTTTAAAAAGTAAAAGAAAAGTTGGCCATGCCCACCCAGTCACATGACACCCCACCCACCAGGCCACGCCCACCATACACCACCAATCCACGCCCACAGAACCGGCAGGGAAAAAATTGAATTTCACCACTGGTTCAATGATATTGTTTCTATAATGCAGGTATTCCCTGAGTTATGACTTTTCATTCGGTGACCACTCAAAGTTGTGATGGTGCTGAATGAAGGGACTTGGGACTGACTCTCAAAATATGATAAGACTTTCTAATAAGCAGTTTTGGGGTAATAAAAGAAAATGTTTGGGAAGCATTGCATTAATAAGACATATTTACTTGTTTAAACAATTTAGCCACTAGATGGCAATACATGCACTGCAGTGGGAAAAGATAAACTGGACCAGGCTAATTTCTTCTTGTAGATGGATTCACTCCCCATTTTATTTATATGCATTAATAATGCCATGGAGTATATGCAGAAACAAAATACTTACAACCTTTAATTATATTGTCTAGAAATGTCTACTAGGCAATCATTATGCCTTTATTGTTGATATATGTGGAAACCAGTGACGTAAAAATCATATTTTGCTCCATTGGTTAACTTTTCCATTTAACCAGTTTTCCAGTATATTTTCTATTGACACTCAAGTATATTTTCCAGTATATTTTCTATTGACACTCAATACGGAAAAGGTTAGCCATCACTGTCATCAGTTGAACTGATTATTTATGTGCCATCAATTTTCGACTCCAATTATATTGTCTAGAAATGTCTACTAGGCAATCATTATGCCTTTATTGTTGATATATGTGGAAACCAGTGACGTAAAAATCATATTTTGCTCCATTGGTTAACTTTTCCATTTAACCAGTTTTCCAGTATATTTTCTACCATATGGAAATACTCAGATTCTTTCCTGTTCTCCAGAAACTACCTGTCTGATTGCAAACAATAAGAGTATATCAACTTTCTATGTTTCAATGTGTGATTTCTATTATTTTTTAAAAATAGGTCAATTATCGATCATTTTTTCAGAGTCTGATATAATGTGGAATAACTTTACCAGACCATACGTATAATACAATGAACCTCTTTCTTATACGTTCTTTTTTCCAAACTCATAAAGTTTATATCAGAGTTTTGCTTACTCTTTAGGCATTAAATGTTACCTGTAAAATATTTTGAGTTTTCCCTAATTTTGGCCAAAATTGACTTTGCTTATCAAAAAGTCACAAAAGGTGATCACATGACCTTGGGATACAGTACTGCAACAATCATAAATACATGCCAGGTGCCAGTCTGAATTTTAATTACATGACCATGGGGATACTGTAACAGTTATAAGTGTAAAAAATTGTCATAAGTCACTTTTTCAGTGTCATTGTAACTTCAAATGATCACTAAATAAATGGTTGTAAGTCAAGGATAACTCTGTTAACTGTTTAACTGTTTAACTGTTTAACTCCCTTTCCACATCATTATTATTCCAATTATTCCGGAGAGCCTCAGGGGAGGTGAGGGGCTGTTTTTGCCCTCCCCAGGCTCCTAGAATGCCTCGAGAGCCTGGGAAAGGCGAAAAATCAGTCCATCACGTGGCAAAAGCGGGTGGGGAGTCATGTGTACATGCGCGGGGGGCACACTGGCATGCGTATGGGGTCTCACGCATAGCATTATGGATACGGGCACGCCCGTACAAGGCCAACCTGTGCTCCCCCCACTTTTGACACTCAATACGGAAAAGGTTAGCCATCACTGTCATCAGTTGAACTGATTATTTATGTGCCATCAATTTTCGACTCCTAGCATCGACATAGATGTTTTTAGTACATATTATGAATGTTCTAAAACATACTTCTTTTGGAATACTGTTCTGTGCCCTTAAGTCAGTTTTCTTTTTTCTTTTTTAGATTATATTCATGATATTAATGTAACAGACATTGTTCCTGGTACAAATGGAAGCAGTAGAGGTAAGCAAACTGGAAAAAATGTTTTTTACTGTTGCAGAGTTCCAGTACATTGGAACTGGCTTACCTTAAGAACAAAATTTTCAATAAATATACCCCTTTTCAACATTATGGGGCTTTTGGGATGGGAAATCATTTGTAAGCCTTGCATATTTGCATTTTTCATAGATTCTGTCAAAAACAGAGAGGAATAAGATTAGTAAATAATCCCTGAACAATAAATAAATCAATAAAATGATATTCTCTTACTTTCAGATACATAATAAGTGAAGACCACACAGTGTTTCATTGACTCATATTCTCAAGCATGGTAGTAGATGCTGATAATAGTGCATGTGTACAACTTCTACCTTTCCAGGTGGAGAGTTTTAAATACAGCTGTTCCTTAAATAATGAATCTTTCATTTACTTGAGAATTACAATGGTGCCATAAGGAAAGGTAAAAGTTCCCTTCGCACATATGTGCTAGTCATTCCAATCTCCATTTCAAAGGCGAAGAGCCAGCGCTGTCCAAAGACATCTCCGTGGTCATGTGGCCGGCGAAGGTGCATGGAACGCAGCTTCCCACTAAAGGTGGTCCATATTTTTCTACTTGCATTTTTGTATGCTTTTGAACTGCTAGGTAGGCAGAAGCTGGGACAAGTAACAGGAGCTTATTCCATTACATGGCACTAGGGATTCGAAGTGCCAAACTACCGACCTTTCTGATCAACAAGCTCAGTGTCTTAGCCACTGAGCCATCGTGTCCCTGTGACAATGGTGCCATAGGTTTCTGCAAATCTTAAGGCATGAAATTTGCCACCTAGCACAGAATCCTTCCAGACTACAAGATGAATGAAAATCAAAAAGAGGGTCTAGAAATGTTGGTCTTGCCCATCCTAGTAGTAGCACAATCTCACTTTTTACCTTCTTTAAAAGTCCTAGGACAGGAGGAGGTAATGTCCTTGTTTTCAAGGACATTACCTCCTTCTGTATCACATGTGACCTACTCTAGTACCACATGTGACCTCAGACAATATGCTTCCATGAAATTTAAAATTGACTAAATATACAAAATGTTTATCAAGGCAAAAAGCTAAGTAATATTTAAAACAGTTGCAACTAATTAAAAGCAACCGAAAGAATATATCTTGAAGAAAAAATGTTCAGACATTTGCAGAACAGAGGGATCATAGTTTCACATCAGAAACATCTTAGTTTCAAAAGCTTATTTTAAAAGCCACCCTGGTGTTATTTCATTATTTGTTGTTACATTACTCCCTTCTTAACTCTGCTAGTTACAAGTTGTATCAAACCAATGGGAAGAATTCAGCCTTCACTGTAACTTCATGTAAATTTCAGAAATGCTATTAATTTTCCCTCAAGCACTACAGTTATATAGATAGCACAGAACAAACAGACTGGGAAAATAATGCTAATGATTCTTTTACATCTATTTATTCTGTAAAAACGTTTGTGCTTCAGGGACTTGTAGCCAAGTAGGCAAAAGGCCGTCATGGGATGAAAAAAATTGCATTTGGAAATTTCCATCAATGTCCTAATTAGTTCATATTTTCTGTATAAATCATGGATAATGACGTCTCATACTAGATTCTCAAAAAGACAGCCTTCTGCCAATGAAAGGTTATTACAGCCCATGTGATTTTGGTCTTCCACCTAGATCTAACCTAGTAATTTTCAAGATGGTATCTTTTGTATATTGGGGAGTTGTGAGAGTCAAATCAAATCAAATCAGATATTTATTATGGTCATATACTTCATAAATAAAAGTCAAAAGTCCAATTTGGAAAATACTGCACAACTGTGAGAAAGTTGTATAAAATGAATGGTGGCAAATTTAATAAGTAAAAGGAATAATGATTCAGTGGCTAAGATGCTGAGCTTGTCGATCAGAAGGTCGGCAGTTTGAATCCCTAGCACCGTGTAATGGAGTGAGGTCCTGTTACTTGTCCCAGCTTCTGCCAACCTAGCAATTTGAAAGCATGTAAAAATGCAAGTAGAAAAATAGGGACCACCTTTGGTGGGAAGGTAACAGCGTTCCATACACCTTCGACATTTAGTCATGCCGGCCACATGACCACAGAGACATCTTCGGACAGTGCTGGCTCTTTGGCTTTGAAACGGAGATGAGCACCGTCCCCTAGAGTTGAGAACAACTAGCACATATGTACCAGGGAAACCTTTACCTTTACTCTTCTTTATATGTATTCATATCTTTAAAATATCAGAAATAACCTTCCCTTCTAGAGTTCCATTTATCTGAATCTGTTGCTTAATTGTGTTATCTTCCCTTTTGTGTGAAAAGTATTATCTGCAAACCAGAAATCTGTTATTAAAGGGAAAGAATGCTGGATGTGAATGCAGTACACTATTATGAATCTGCCATTGCATTTATAGTTTAAACTTCTTGTAACCTACTTAAGAGGCTTTCAAGTTGTGGAGGCTATGAAAAATCAAAAATAAGTAAACCGATATTGGAATTTGCTGACATTTAGGAGAACTATCCTTTAACTAAAATGCAGAGCTATACCTAACCTAACATGTAAACTTTACATGGAAAAATTCCACACTGCTTATGTACTGCTTAGAAGCCTGTAGTTTGGTAGTCTGTACCCTGGGTTATGGTACAATAATGATCTAAAAGATTATTTTGTAGCTTACATGGCATCTTTGCAGAATTTGGACTTGTTACAGTGAGTTAGAACTGAGATAATGCTCTAGAAGGAAACAAATTTGGGAGTAAGGGGAAGAGAAAACATGTTCAGTGACACTAGGAGTCTTATAAAACAAAAGAAATATATAAGGAATTATGTATATGATCTATGATAGATGGCAGAGTGTTAGCTGTTTCTTTCCTGTTGAGTGTACTTGTGGATTGTGGTAATTGCCCTCATTCTAATGCCATTTCAGCTGTCTTCCTGATGTTGTGCATGTGTTTTGCAATTGGTATGCACCCAAAGGATATGTTCAGTGGTACATCGTAGCTCAGGCTAGACACATACTTTGCTTGGGGCTAATTCTGAGAAACTACCAATTCCCTATTTAAGACTTATGACAAAAGGAAAAAAGGATCACCTTCTCATAAACAATTCCAGTAATTCTGGAACTCAGGAAACAAAAAGTTGCCAACAAGCTTTTCTGGGCAAGGAGTTCAAACTAGTAAGTGTTCAAAGTGATTTGAGCAACAAAAGTAGTGGTGATTGGGTTGAAAATTACAGCATTGCCCAAGTTGCTTAAATGTTTTGAATGAAATAAGACCAACAACCATTTTAATGGATAACACACATATCTAGAGACAACTTGACTTATCAATACATAGAATAGAACAGAATAGCATAGAACAAAAGACAATAGAATAAGAATAGAATAGAATAGAATTCTTTATTGGTCAAGTGTGATTGAAACACAAAGAATTTGTCTTTGGTATATATACACTGGAGAACTGAATGTATGAATGTTTGAATGTTTATTTCATTTATATGCCGCCCTTTCCCCCCGAAGGGGGACTCAGGGCGGCTCACAACTCAAACCAGGGAAGGGGGGATACAGACAAATTAACAACAACACAAAACAATACATGATTTAAAAACACACAACAATCATACCATTCGAGGCGGGGGCAACGGTTCTTTAGCTGTGACCCTTTGGTAGTTGTCTTGATCCTTTTTCTCTTGTTCAGTGCAACAAATGGTGAAGAGGGGAAGAGGTTATGAATTCACAGAGCTGCAGCAAATGAAATGTTACAGAAATGCAGTACTCTATAGATTGCACAGCCCATCTTTCCCTGCCAATATGCATTTCTTACCTGTAAGAATTATGTGTGCACATAAACAATATGGAAGTCATGCTTAAAGAAAAGTAAGCCTGGCATAAGCAGAGCTTCTGTGTTTTGGGGTTTTGTGCCCTTACACCAGTGTTGACTCCTGGCAAATACCTTGACTAATCCCTGTGGTTTTCTTGTCTTGATTTTGGAAATAGTTTGCCATTGCCTTCTTACTAGGGCAAGGAAAGCCAATGACTGGCCCAAGGTCACCCAGCTGCCTTTGTGTTTAAGGCAGAACTAGAACACTGTCTCCTGGTTTCTAGCTGGTGCCTTAACTACTACATGAAACTGACTCTTTTCTATGGATTCAAGTTCACATATTAGTTAATTCTCGGGCTATTGTTTTGCTTTAGACATGAAAGATTCTTTGCCATAGGATGAATGGCTATTAGTGGCAGTGGGACTGCTCTAAAGGGAATCTAGTGGACTTTCTTGATGGGCCATGGTAAGAACAGACTACTGGACTATTTGGACCAGCAGGGCACTGCTTATGCTTTTTTGAAGAAGTTAATTAATGCCATGTTTCTCAACCTTGGCAATTTTAAGATGGGTGAACTTCAACTCCCAGAATTTTCAGGGAACCAAGATTGAGAAACATTGAACTAATGTTCAATGTTTGATTTCCAGAACATAATTTCTCACTATCACCATCACCATCATAACCTATTTGCAAGTGATTTCTTTAAGCTAAACAATCATTTTCTTTCTTTTTTAATTTTACAGTAATATGTCCAAGTGACAGTAACCATAAAGTACCAGGAAACGAAACTTTTGAATTTACTTCTATCGGTGCTGTTGGATTTGAGGAATTTGAAAAGTGGTGGGACAAATCCAAAACCGTTCCATTTTATTTGACCATCATTCTTCTACTGTTGAATTTTAAATCTCCATCTTTCTTTGCCAAATTTAACATATTAGGTATGTAGTAGTCACTAAAAATTATGCAAAATAGATTCTTTTAGATATCTTGACTCAATAAATTTCTTGTTAGTTGTGGGTCTCACTACACAAAAGATCTTTGCTCCAATTTTTCAGCATCTCAGGAAATTTAAAACTTGCCAGGGCAATAACAGATCTTGAATTAACTTGAAGCAGCAAATGTTGGGGAAGATTTTGTATGTTGTTTTAGTTTTTCAACCTCTCTTTCCACTGCAAAATGCTTCCTTATAATGACAGTGCCCTCACTGTGGGAGAAGATAACATTTGCTCCACTCTTCTTTCTCCAGTAACTGGAAAGCAATTTCATCCAGTATTAATCATGTTTAATGAGCCCTCAAAATGGTGAACTTTTGCTAGTTGACATCTCTAATTGTGTTTTTTTAAACTTTAAAAAGAGACAGCAGTAATCCAGTTGTGAATCTATCACATTGTGTATTTCAGCCAAGGAAGAAAGAACAAATTGTCTATCTTAGCCATAACAAAAAAGTTTCAAACTTTTTGCATTCTTGTTATTTCTTCTTTTTATTCAATTGGAGATATTCCTTAAATTAGTAAAACATTAAACAAGATACTGAACTCTTAGAAATCCATAAGAGTTTATATTTTTGCTCATTTTGTTTCCAGTTTTTTAAATGCTGTTTTTTTCTCTCTGCAATATATTCACACACCTATAAGAAAGTAATAGGTAAAGTAATATGAAAGTAATAGATAAGGTGAAATTATATGTTGTATAGCAATATTGTTCTGAAATATCGTAAAGCAAGGAAGCAATGCAATCTGTTACTTGAGTGTCAGATCATGTTTATGAAAATGGATGTGTAAAATATGCTCGCTTTATCTTGCAGAGGTACGATACAGGAAGTTTTTGCACTGCAAGTTCTTTATTTTTCAATGAAAATATCCACATTTAAAAGCACATCTGTGTTTTTTTTACTGTGTCTAGAATTTCTAGTCTCCAAAACCCTGATTAATTTTTCTTTCAGATAATTATTATGAGAACAATGGTAATAATGATTTTAAGCTCGCAATTTGGTTAAAATTATTTTGTCCTCCCACTAACATGTTCCAGTTTGGTATTGTTGAATATGATGTCAAGTAACTTCATTTCATTCAATTATGGTTAAAATGATTTACAAGAAGAATATAAAAGAGAGAGGCTGAATTGTAATGTTCTAAGACTTGTAGATATTAAAGAACATTTTTCCTATATTAATTAGTTTCAATATATCTAGATACGATTGTTTATTTTCTTTTTCCCGCTGCAGGTACTGTCTCTGTCATTTATTTAGTTATTCTTGTTACTGTGAAAGCTGCTCTTCTAGGATTCCATTTAGAATTTGATTGGACTGCAACAAATATATATTTTGTGCCAGGTAAACTTTAAAAAAATATTTATGGACTGTTCCCTTTAAATAATTTAATCAACTGAATGGATCCTGCAGGGCAGGATAGGCTTTCGGCTATAGTATTACTTTTATCTACTTTGCTATAATCCATCCAAACCCCAATTGTCTAGAACACATCAGGCCTATCGCTTCTCTACCTATCATGAAGGCTGGAAATCATCCTTATAGACAAAACTGGGTCACACATGCTAAGCCAGTGTTCACGAAATAAGATGTGATGACTGGGTACCCACATAAACCTAATCCTTAAATTGGATAGTCACCACAGTGGTATTTCTGCTTCAGATCTGAAGCCAAGGCAGTGGTTTTGTTGGTCTTCTATAAAAAAAACTTGTAAAGAGGCATCAGGAGTGATTTCTTCTACTTTTTCTGGGAATATAATGTGATGTCAAAATAAGCTCTGAAAAATATTGTTTTCCTATGCTGCTCTTTGAGTAGATGATTATTTTCTTGGGGAAGCTGTCTGGGGAGTCATTATGCAGGCGCTAAATTTAATTATTCCTAGACAGTAACATACAGCTAAGGCAGGGGTTAACAACCCACGGCTCTAGAGCCGCATGTGGCTCTTTCATCCCTCTGCTGCGGCTCACTATCGCAGGTCAGCGCCAGAATTTTGAGAAGAGCTTCCATTTGGGGGAGGGGGGAAGCATGGCACACCAGGAGGAGACTCTGTGGCAAGGGCAGGTTTTCCAGTCGGCTTTCCAATTGACAAGCTTTCAGTTAGGACAGGTAGAGGAAAAAGGACGCTGCGCTAGGAAGAGACTCTATGGTAGGGGAACCGGACTTCTGGTTGGCTCCAAAATTGAATGGAGGCTTCTGGTTAGGGCCTTTGTGGCTCTTTGAGTATTTAAGGTTGCCAACCCCTGAGCTAAGGGAATTACATACATTTTTTTCTCCTAGAGTTATCTGCTCAGTTTGTTCATACTTTATAGTCAATCTTCCAGTTTCCAAAATACCATATGGATGGGTAGCTATCAGCTGTTACAACAAAAACCAAATGCTTAAGGATAGTTTTCAATGCCATTCTTTTCTTCAGAAAAAAAATGGATGGAAAATAGCCTGTAACAAGAATTTTTTGATGTTCTGTGAACATTGCCTCCCACATGTAGGTTTTTTGATGTGAGAGACTTTATAGAAATGTTCTATCTAAAGAAAAGTGTTGGAAGAGGCCCCTTAAGAAATACTGTGGTATTGGATTGTGGTAGCAATCTGGCAGAGCAGATAAATCAGAACAAGTACTTATGAAACAACCATTCCACTATGGCCACTTAGCTGTCAGTATTTTTCATTAATTAGAACCCTTAACACTTGGGTTTTTCTGGTTGGTATGTAATATTTTTTTCAAGATTATATCAAGAATGATATAAGGGCGGAAACCCATTCCACTAAGATCTCCCAAAATTCTGCTTTGCTTTCCTTCTCTGCTTTGTTGAACAGAAAGATTTTCCCTTCCTTCCTTCCTTCCTTCCTTCCTTCCTTCCTTCCTTCCTTCCTTCCTTCCTTCCTTCCTTCCTTCCTTCCTTCCTTCCTTCTTTTCTAGTTTGTACTCCCTTCTCTTTCCTTTCCTGAAAGAGTTTTCCTTTGTCTAGCACAGGAGTCTCCAATCTTGGCAACTTTAAGACTTGTAGATTTCAACTTCCAGAATTCTGGGAGTTGAAGTCCAGAGGTCTTAAAGTTGCCAAGGTTGGAGACCCCTGGTCTACAGAAAGGTCTTCTTTATTGTTGTTTTGTTCATTCTATGCCTAACAGAGGCATCCTCATGGCAGAATAACTGGACCATCCTCTCTGCCAAAGCCTTACCTCCCTGTTGTCGTTGTTTGCACAGCCCAGGAGCAGCAGGAATGGGTGGGTATTCCCAGAGGACATCACTGCTTAGCATGTGAGGCCTCAGGGCACCAGTGACACAGTCTGCTGCCTGCTGTCAAGCCACTCCTTGCCCTTGAATATTACCTGCCAGCAATCCTAGTGGTCTTCAATTCCTCTTACAGTCCATGGAAAATGAACTGGAACCTGTCTGTAACTTATTCGCTTTGGATATGAGGCAATCTTTCTCAACCTACTACTTCCTTTCAAGTAGACTGACTCCACATTATGTAGAGTTCACAATATATGGCCAAGGACAGTGTGGGTCCCTCTCATGTGGTGAACCAAAATGTATTTCTTTTCATAAAGCAGGAACATTTCAAACCTCTTCATAAACAGCAGAGTTTATCGTAGTTCTAAATTAGTTTGAGTAAATGGTTAATACACTGTTGTTCTCTATCATGGGAAACTTTGGATGAGGGGTTTGTTAGAATCCATACCAAGATTTGGGATCTGTGGTTTGGATAATTTCCTCCTCCTTTTTTCCAGGCTTTATAATAGAGTAAATAATAGTTCTTAAAAGGATTTGCTTAGTCAATGGCTGATGTTATGGTAAACACAAGTTCCTATACACATGATGAAACAGAGTGATTTTAACTCTAAGTTGACAGCAGAGTAGGGGAAAAATAATATTTGTGCTTGAGAGCTTACTTTGAGTGCTTGAGTGAAATATAACTCTCCTTAGATCTCCTTGGTAAAAACCCAAATAAGAAGAGTGGGGAGTAAATATGTTAGTAATCATACTCAAATCATTTGCCCAGGTTAGAATCTCCTGGCAGGCTAGCTCATATTTTTGCCATGTGGCAATCTCATTGGTGTGTGATAGAAGACATGCAGGACATGTATATGGACCAATGCTTCACCCTTGTCTATCATTACTGCATCTACTTGGCTGTTCGATGGTTTTGTCTAACATGCAATGAAGCTTTCCCATAATAGTCTTCCAGATGGCTCTTGTCAGAAATCGTTGCTCAGATGTTATTGTTTACTGGCACACTTCATCTGTGAATGTTTCAATGATTATCCAAACAAGGCAGGAAAAAGAGCGCGGGGGGGGGGAGGGAGAATTACGCAATTCTGTTGGGTTGTTTGTGAATTTGTACAGATGTTAAGTTAGCAGACTTGGTAAATCCAGCTTTAACTTTAATCAGAAAAGTCTTACAAACATTAGAATTTCAGCCTTGTATTTTGTTAAATCATGGGTGGGCAACAAACTCAGCGTTCAAAAGCCATGTATGAATTAAGTCGGCAGGGAAGCATCACGTTTCTACTTATTTTTGTGAAATGGAAACAGTGCATTTTGTACATGCAATATGATCAGTATTGATGACAGTAAAACAAAACGATTAAATAGATATTCTAGAGCAGACATCAAAATAATTCCATCCCATTTTCTTCGGTACTGATATTTCTACTGGCCTCAATCTGGCACCATATCTTAACTGGAAAAATGTTGCACTCTAAATCATAATATAGTTGGTTGCTTTCAACTATGGCTTAAACAGTGTGTGAAGGCCAGCCAAATGAGGTTTCATCAGTAAATTATCTTTCTGCTAACCATGGCTTAGTCTCTCCTGTAAATGGAACTGATTTCTATTATATAGATGTAGAAGTAACCTAGTAGGAAAGCACTGTCCTGCTTAAATTTCCTTTTGTTTTAAAATATAACCAGAAAACCATTGTAGTGGTAGAGAACGGAAAGCAAAACTTTTTCTTGAGCTTAGCTGGTTAATCAGAGAAGAGCTTGGCTTCAGAGATATGATTTTTCTTACTGAATAGTAATTCATGGTATCTAAAACAGATGACAACAAAAAGAAATACATTCTGTATAACATATATAACAATATGTTGATTGTTAAATTAGAATGTTACCCACTAGTAGTACAAAAGAAGCTGGAATACAATTATGTATTAGGTATAAATATACACATTTAATTTAAAGAAACCTTTTTTAAAAAAAAGATAATATTCAAATTCTAAGGAAATGCATGCGTTTTTTTATTTACCTTTTTAAAATATGAAGTCCTATACATACTTGAAAGGAGTGAGGCCCACTTTCAATGCATCTGCATATCATAGTGTAGAAAATGCTGTAAAGCTATTATTATCACATTCACGAATGCTTCCTTTTAGTTTTTATTTTACTTGTATTAGTTAGGACAAGATTAGCACCAATAGCTCAATTCTGCATCATCATCTAATCCTGTACCCTATATTGGCGCCGGAGTGCCATAAACCCAAAGACCAGCTGGCCAGTGCACATGTGCGTTCTGGCCAACTGGTCTTCGGGGTTTCTGGCATGTGCATGCGTGCCGGTCAGCTGATCTTCTCACGCACCGGAGGACTGGCACACACTAAGACTAGCTGGCATGTGCACGTCGGAAACCAGAAGACCAGCTGGCAACAGCGCACGTGCCCACAGAGAGGGCTCTGGTTGCCACCTCTAGCACGCATGCCATAGGTTTGCCATCACGCCCCTATCCCATCAGCCTGCCAATAACGTTCTTACTTTCCTAATATGCAGACTGTGATTTTGGGGCGGGGAGAAATGCTTCTTTCTTGTGGAAAATTTGTTCCCCCATAAATGTGTTCGGTATTATTATTTAGCCTTCTCTGGTTTTCAAATTTAAAAAATGTGATTAAATGATGTAACTTTATTGTAAAAAATACAAGGCAATATAAATGGGTGGGTAGTATTATGACATCATTTGGATAGTTCTTTGGAAAAAGGAGTAAAATGCACGGAATTAGGCATTTGTTTTGTTTTAGTTGTATGTACGTGCGTGCAAGAAAAAGATTTATCCAATGTCAATTATGAGTACAATGTCCTGGAGGCAAGCAATGTATTAAGAGCTGTCTCAATTCTAATTTCATACAGCTATTTCTATAATTGTTGGTGTTCTCCTTTTACATCTGATTGCTTGCTGCTTCTTCTGTATGTTTTGCGAAACTTAAATATATCCTACCTGAATATATAACAGCTGCCACTACAAATATGACTGGGAGCTTCGCTTAGGAATCGATAGACTAGACTATATTCATTTTAACATTAACAGTCACCGCTCTGAAAATTCTGATTTATGTTCCTCTTTCTCCAGAGTTCAGGATCTTTTTTCCTCAGCTTACAGGAGTGCTGACCCTGGCTTTCTTTATCCATAATTGTGTAATTACGCTACTTAAGAATAACAGGAACCAAGAAAAAAATGTAAGTGACTATAGGAGAAAATATGTTTACATGCAAAAAGTGACTTTTCCTCAAACTGCTCTTTGTAATGGTTCTTAGGTATGTGCTCAGGTATGGCCTGTATTGGGGGTCATGTAAATTTCAGCACTCTAATCCAATGTTTGTTCATCTTAGTCTACAGCTAGCTTTCTCTGAATGCTTCATTAAGCAATCAAATATTATTCAGGCCAGCCCTAGGACATCATGCCATGAACTGCTCAAAATAAGATTCTGAAGAATCTTAAGGACTTCCTAGTAAGGAAATCATTGATGGCTTTCAGTTTGAGAAAGTTTAGAGAACCATTTCTAAAATTTTGAGGCTCTCCCAGTCCGTATACATACATATAAATTTGAACTAGCAAAGGCGGGGGATAACAATGAATCTTCCCTAGAGTGGATGTTTGGTCAGAATGATTCCATTAAGTGTGCATAGAATCATTTAGGCTTTGTCACTTCAGCCAGTCTTCAGGACTGACCTTCGGAAAAGCACTGAGCAAAAATGGGATTCCACATTTAGCAGCAAAGCAGAACATCGATACTTATCTCAAGTTTGCCATTCAGCATCTGGATGACCTTCCAAATATTTGGAGAAATGTTTTACAGCTGGATCTCAAACTTGAATTGTCATGAATGACGCATAAAGTCTGATTCATTAGCATGGGGACCAGACACTGATTTTTGTATATTTATAATAAAGTCTCTAGTGACTCAAGAAAGAAGAAAATACAGGGTAACATGATATGTCATTAAACAAAATTGTATTAAATTTTTAAGGGATGTTAAAAAAAAAAGCTATAGTGCTTTTTTGCCATTTCACTTTGACCATTTATCTGGTTGTGTTTTTTAATTCATCAGAACACAAATATTTGGTTTGGTTTGGGGTATTGCCGAATAGCAGGATAAAACCCTTGAACCTAATAATCTGAAACTTGGCACTTCAGACAAGGCAATTATTCCTGAAAATAATTTTTAATTCTGCCAAGAAATCAAAAGGATATTTACAATTCTCTTTAAAGAGGAGTGAAAGGGTAAAATGCATGTTTTGTTTTCAAAGCAGGAGGCTGAAATTACTGTAAATACAGCTGACTTTCATATTACTTTTAATTGAAAGTAGGCTGAATTTATTATTTTCTATCTAAAAAAAAAGCAATTGCAATTTGATGATTTCTGGTTATAACTTCCAATTATATTCTTGTTTATCTTGGTCTGGCATCATAAATTAAAGCTGTATGATGGAAGTGACTTAAAAAGAAACAAAGTAATAAGTACAGGAAGTCCTCGGCTTACAACTGCTGTTTGAAGTTACAACAGCCCTGAAAAAGTGACTTATGACTGCTTTTCACACTTACAACCATTGCAGCATCCCCATAGTCACGTTATAATCAAAATTTGGATGCTTTCCAACTGGTTCATATTTATGACGGTTGCAGTGTCCAGGGGTCATGCAATCACAAGCAAAATCAGATTTGTCACCTTTGTTTCTCAAATAAATAAAAAGCATCAAAGTTCATTGAATCCATCTCACTTCATATAACAGAAGAGGCACATGAAGCTCTGATTGAGTCAGTCACAAAGTTAAGCAACATTCGAACCATCTGAAAGAAGGTGAATTCTAAATTGAGCCACTCTGGAGACTTGCTTCCTTAATCTTCTGTTTTTGGAGCAAAACAAACCAAAACAAAATAAGCTGTTGGTGTAAATGATGACTGGGAACACCCCACCCCACCCCACCCAGTAGTCCTAACCTTTTGTAAAATGGTCACAACAATTTTATTCTCCCAGGTTTTCAAACTTAGTTTAATTGTTCATGGGGTCCATATTGAGAATTGGCTATATTTTCTTAATGTTATTTAACATAAGCGCTGAACTTGATGGTTCTTGTAGCATAAAACTGAAGCTAAACTCTTTCAGTGCACAAAAGTAGCATATTTAACCCATTTATTTTAAAGAGATGCTTATTTTAGAAGGTTCTCCATTTTCTATTCTTATAAGTTGAGAAAGAGAAAAAAATGTATGACTTTCTGGATAAATATGGAATCTAAATCTAACTTTTTTACACTGTAGCCCAGCCTAATGCTTTAGACTGTAGCCCAGTTTAATGTTCGCAGATCTCACTAGCAGTCTACTCTTTCCAGAACTAGTATATAGTATATACTCAAATGAAATGTTGACAGTAAAAGAAGTTAAAAGTTCAGAGACTGAGATAACAGTTTATGCTGTGAGCAAGCATTGACTAGATATAAAATTTGCAATCTCCATTTTTAAATTCGTATCATCCCCATCCTGCTTGAGTAAAGCAGCTGCTGAACAGACAACAACAGACTGGGGATCGGAAGCATTTTCTGCCAGGGAAGAAGGGACTTCCATAAGCTGTTGATTTTCAATTTGGGTTTGAAGATCCCATTCCAAACATTTACAGGAATTATATCTAGCTAAAAAGAAATTAAGGTCAATATTACTCACTGAAATTGTCTGTTTGTTTAATCATTCATTTTCTGCTGCTTCAGGGGCTTGGACAGAATCTGGGTTTTATCAGATGTAACTGGAGCGGTACAGTCATGAGAGTAATTTAACAAATATAAAAAAATAAGAAAATTAAAATGGAATGTTGCAGAATAGAATGAGTTAATGTTTTTCTTCACATTGCAGATGTCTGTGTTTCTATTACATAGAATATTATAGTTCTATGATTCTGTGAAAATACTGTGGGATTGTAGATAAATGTTCAAATGGTGTTGAGGTATCCAAGTAAAGAGCCCCACTTGAGAAGAATGAAGTCAACCAGGGGTATTCATGGCAGGGTCAAAAAAGGTCTATAAAATGTTAATAGGAACATGGATTGATCCCATGATTGTGGCTGCCATTTTGACTTTTTAAATTAAAACATTCCTCCATCTTACATCTGTTTTTCTGCTTCATTATCATAAACCACAACTCGTTCACAATATCATTTACTGAAAACGCCATATACAGTATATGCTGAACCAAATTTTGTTAACCATGGTTTACTGAATAAAGACACTTGGTGCCTGCTTTTATTCAGCGCAGGCAAATGGCAACCCTAAGGAGAAGAGACAGGAGCAGGAGTCAACGTGCTAACAAGTAAATCTCGACTACTATTATTGAAATGGACCAGAACAAAAGGCACAAATCTAAAGAACGGAATAATCTAAACTCTTCCCAAGATGTTGTATAAATGCCTGTTTGGAGATAGAATCAAAAAAGAGAAGAAGGGGTAAAAGAAGATGGAATGAGCTGTCAGGGAAGACATAAGATTTGGGGATTGTTGCTTATTATCTATAGTAAAATAGCCCAGTGAAAAGAAAGTTGTGAACCACAACTTTTTCTCCAATATGGAGGAAGTCATAACATTTGCTTCAAATGATGAGCAACAGTTGTGAAATAAAACTCAAAAGATTGATTTAGAATATGGTCCAATTTCTGAAAAGAAGAGTTTGTAGTCAAAAAAGAGTAAATAAAACTGGGAGGTGGCTCTTGATGTCGCAACGACACGACATGCAATCGTGGGGCTCCATGATTGCTGTCAATATCTCTGTTGCTGGACGGTCCTTTTTGAATCTAAACTGTTCTGAAGGAATGGTGATAGAGAAGAGCAGGTCCTGCTGATCTCAGGGACATCACAAAGTCCCTGATCGATCCAGGAGAAAGCTCTTTTTGCCGGCTACAAGAGAAGCAGTAAAAATGGCTGCAGAAGGTTGAGACAGTCCCCTGAAATGGAAGCAGAACAGGAGAGACAGTGTGTCGAAATGGTGAGAAAAATCCTTCTTATTAGAGAAGAGAAAACCCAAAAGACAGTTAAAATTGAAGACAGAAGGAAGTAAGCGGCGAATTAACACTGGTTTAAAACTATCTTATCTTTTTCATTTTTATTTTATTTGTTTTCTATGGATGGACTTTTTACAAATGCCTCTTACTTTTAAACTGGACTGGTCTTTTTTTCCCTTTTCCCTTTTTTTCCTATACTTTTTCCATTTTTTGTATTTGTGGATTAAAAGTTTCTTTCCTCGCAAGGCTCGGCTGGATCGTAATCTTTAAACATTTTTTTTCTTCTCTTCTGGAGTTTGGAGCCTAGAAAGAGAGGCAAAAACAGAGGGAAAGGATGTAACACTGCCATCTAAAGGCTAAAGGCTTGGCAATATCTGATAATACAAAG